AGGTAAATCCAAGTGTGTTTATTACGTGCCTCTGGAAAAGAATAAGGGAAAGAAAAGTACAGGCTTTGTGAGGTGAATTCTGTTTTCTGTTTGCACCTCCTGTCTTGTTAATAGTTCCTGATTCTTCCTGTGTTGGGTTGTAGGCTGTTTCTTTCCAGAGTGCAGAAAAATGTGAATAGATGTATATTGCCCGCAGTGAAAGGGCAGTAGTGGGTGCCCAGCCTGGTAGGGTCTTTGGAGGGCAGCTGAAAGGAATGGTTTAGGGACTTCTATACTAACATCAAATTCTGTTTGTTCACTACAGTGTTGCTTTTTCAGTGAATAATACTGAAGACCTGTTGTGCATGTGGCATAAAGTGACTGAAAGTGTGAAAAAACAGAGCCACATAGACCCGGGCTCCTAAGCCTCACTTCACCTCTCGGTTTCTATGTGATTCTGAGCAAGTGACTTAATGTCTCTAAGCCCAAGTTCCTACTCAGTCAAAACAATATAATACAAAACAATAAAAAATGATGATAGTGCCACCAACAGTACTGGATTATATGAGGATTAAGTAGGAGAAAGCAGATAACATTCTTAGCACAAAAATTGTGCCTAATCAACGCTCAGGAAATATTAGTTTCTAGTGTTAGTGATATCATAATAATATTGTGAATAATGTCACTGTAATGTTGTTATTTTGAGCCAAGACTAAGTTAGAAACCAAAGCAGTGTTTATGAAGTGCTTGACAAAGGTACCTGGCACATGAGTTTGATAAGATGCAAATATTCATGACACATATACATAGACACATTACATGTATACAGTGTATATGTAATGATATTATACATGCAACTACATATGTACTGTTTACTACATGTATATAATGCACATTGTTAATATATATGAATATGTATACTATAGGAAAGAAAAGGAAAAAGAAGCTGCAGAGAACTTCTCCGGTTGTTGTAAGCTTAGCACACAATCATAGCTACTACATTCTTCACAAAATAATAATAGTAATGACAGGTGGCACAGCAGTAAAGAATCTGCCTGCCAGTGCAGGAGACGCAGAGGACTTGGGTTTGATCCCTGGGTTGTGAAGATCCCCTGAAGGAGGAAATGGCAACCCACTCCAGTATTCTTGCCTGGAGGATCCTATGGACAGAGGAACCTAGTGAGCTACAGCCCATGGGGTCACAGAAGAGCCAGACATGACTTATGCACTGATGCATGCACTAATGACAGTAATATTTACTGAGTACCTTTTCTGTGTCAGGAATTATTTCAGGCAGGAAAATGTTTACTGATAATACCTGTCTAAAGATGTTGGACCAAGGTGTATTTGAGAAGGATCACTGTGTTAGCTAGATCTAGCAGAATGTAGTTAACTAGATCTAGAAGAACTGAACAGATTACACACCAAATCAGAGGTGGACCAATCAGAGGTCGGAGAGACAGCTTTTTAGTTTATTCTATGTCTTGTGCTTTACATGGGGCTGCCTTGTTGCCCAGCTCTTGTCGCCTGTCCTGTGAATGGCGGCCCATGGAATCCAACAAACTCAGGGTCCCATTGGTGGTCAGGTTTACCTTTAGCAACTGTGGGTTTCAAGGCAAGGTTAAGGACTGAGGAACAACATGCCGCAGCTGTGTGATGAGCTGCAGAAGTTGTCTGGTCCAGATGACCGCTGACCTCCTGCCCAAGTGAAAAATATAGGTTCCCCTTGTCAGTCTGGAGACCATGGAAGCTTCCACTCAATGACCAAGCATGCCCATCACCAGCAGGAGAGGCCACTGACAATTTTTATCCAGCTGAGAGGAGTGACACCGTTTCCATAAATGCAGCCAACACCGAAGGACATTTGATGAGCCTGCTAAGCTTGTCCTCCTTTTTTCTTCTTTTATGTGACTGTCAAGAGAAGCTGTGATCCAGGTGACAATATAATATCGCCCAGGTCATCAGTTCACTCTCAGAACCATCACGCCCTTCCTTTGAAATCTTGGGGCAAGTTGAGTTAATGACAAGGATGTGGCTGAGCTTAAGCCACTGCATGTCATTAGCCTGTAAGAGCAATTTGAGCAAAATCACTTCTGTGTTGAATTCAGAACCTGCCTCTTTTTACAGTTGTATGACTAATTCTTTCCTGAGGCATCAGAAATAAACTTCTCAGGAGTACTGAATGAGAGCTGCGAAAGAAGCAAGTATTCAAGAGAATAAACAAACCTTGGAGTCACATTGCTGAGGGTCTCCCAGGCCATCCTTGCCTGGCATCCCAGAGATGAAAGAATTTGATGACAGATGGCTGTCCCTTCTAAAAAATTTCTGGTCTGACTTGCTCTGTATGACAGCCCGCTCTTCTTTAAAAAAAAAAAAAAAATCACCCTGAAGTTAAGGAATTCCTTCCTCTATTCAACTCACGTCTCTTAAGGCTTTAATGCAAACCAATTTTCTCTTATTTGGCCTTCTCTGGATGTGGATAAGAGCTGGTCATCATCTTTCACATACAAGGCCTTTAATCAAATTACTCCTTACTCGCGTTTTCTTCAGGCGAAACAATTCCTCTTCCTTTAACCTTTCCACACGGAATTGTGCTCCTTCCCTTTCATCACGTTGGTTGGTCTTTCCCTTGACTGCCTCCAGAAGGTCTTTGTTAATTCCTTTCATGTAATTTTTAGGACTTATTTTCTCTGAGAAAATCCTGAAGCTCCTCTCATTTTGAGACGCTTTCAGTTCTGATTTTGGTAGTCTCTACCAAGTGTGTGCACCTTGCTAGGTTGAGCTGATTTTTCCTTTCAGCACCTCCAATTATTTTTATCTGAATAGGTCACCTTTAGACAGAGTAAACAGTCCAGTTTTCTTAATTATTCTGCTTTTATTGCCTTTCTCCCTTCATAATACATAAACAGGGGCCATCAGAAGGAAGAATGGAAGAAAGACAAATTCTAAATAGCAACCACGTGAGTTGTTAGAAGTTCTATGAATTGTAGAGAACTAGAATAAAAGGGGAATAACAGGCTACTTTTGCATGAAAGACCACCCTGCTTCTATTCCCTTGGAAAAAAAAGCAGAAAAAGTTTCATGGTTTATTATTACTTTCCACGTGCAGGAGAATTGGGAGAGGAGGTGGAATGATAAGTGAATCTGTATACTTAAATAATTTTTCTTGATGGTGTAAATTCAGTGCCTTCTCATGCAGAGAGGAGTTTCAGACTGTAAGCCAGTCATTTTCTGTCATTCTGTGAGGCTGTTAGAGAAACACTGGGGTTCGTTCCAGGCTTCAAGACGCCCATCCAGAAATCCCGGTCCCAATTCTCTTCTTATCCATTGGCTTAACCACCTCCTGGTCCTGTAAGTTTAGGGCAGCCACTCCATCTCAGCTTGGGAAGTGGTTTTCTAGCACCCTTTCCCCTTGTAATTCTCTCCTGCAGAAAGCATTCTGATTTGGCATCCAAGGAGCCGGTTGGGCCAGAAAGCGTTCATTCAGTTTCTCTATTTCTTTCATTTTTAACCTCAGCTCAAGTTGGTATTTTGGTGGCTGGACATTTTACGTTATGCTCCATTTCTCTGGTTACAAGAGTATCTTTGTGGTCCGTTGAGAACAAATCTCTGTCACTTAGCCCCTGTTCTCTTCCTCTTATATAATAGAATGATCTTTTCTTAAAAAAAAAAAAATTTATTGGACTATAGTTGCTTCACAGTGTTGTGTTAGCTTCTCTGTACAGCGAAGTGAATCAGCTCTACTTATACATACACCCCCTCTTTTTAAGATTTCCTTCCCTTTTAGGTCACCACAGAGCATTGAGCACAGTTCCCTGTGTAGGTGCTCATTAGTTACCTGTTTTATGCATAGTAGTATATACATGTCTCCCCGTTTCCCAATTCATCCCACTGCCACCCTTTACCCCTTATTGTACATACATGTGTTCTCTACCTCTGTGTCTGTTTCTGCTTTGCAAATAGGTTCATCTATACTATTTTTAGAGATTCCCTATGACCTTTTTTGTGCCATGCAGAATGTTGAGGGCCACAAATAATCCTTTTTGATAGTATAAATAGGATCCTGGAGCCCTGAATTTTTCTTTGATTTCCCCTAAAAGTTTAGATAGCAGTCTTGAAGAAAATGTTTCCTAGTAATATTAATAATAATGACACCTAATATTTACCATGGGCTTACTGGCTGCTTCATAGATTTTAATCTTTTTAGCAACCTTAAGAAAGGCAGTACTAGTATCATATCCATTTTATAGATGAGGAAACCCGTGTTACAGAAAGCTTGAATAATTTGCTTATGATTACCCATTCGGTAAATGTTGAACTTCAGTAGTTTAACCTGTGCATTGTGGGCTTGTCAACTTTGTGACTTAGTAACTGCTGAACTCTATCCCTAGTATATAAGGAGGTACTTAGTAAGAATTATTGGTAAATTGTGAATATTTCTAAAGCTCTTCTGTTCCTGGAACTGTTTTAATGACCACGCATGGATAATCTCATTTTCTGCTGACCCAAACCCTATCCGGTTGATGTTGCAGTAATTCTCACCATTTTACCAAGGAAGATTTGAGGCTCAAGAGAAGTTAAACAACTTTCTCAGGGTCACAGAGTGGTTGAGCCATGGAGCTAGAATTCCCACCCAGGAAGTCTGAGTCTCAAACTTAGCAGTTTCACTATATAACTCTGTGCTGCTTCCTGTAATCCTGAAGTTCTTGCCAGGGATTGGGGTGGGGGTGGCTGGGGGGGTTCCTGCAGAAAGACCCAGCCTCTTGTCTGAGACACGAGCTACAAGAGTTGTAACCACCTTCCAATGAAGTGCTTTCCTTTTCAGCTGACAGAAAGGAATCCACAGCCAGATAAGCCCATCGGCAGTGATTCCAGCAGGCAACCTGTGTCAGGCCGAGTTTGTCCCACTCGACTTCGGGTACCTCCCACCACCGTGTGTTCTCATCACCCCTCCTGGCTTTGGACCACGCAGCCTTCTAACCAAATTTCTTTTTTCTCCTTTTCTCTGGTTCTCTGTTCAGCTCGAGGCTTTTTATTCCATCTTCACCACAGAGCAGCAAGACCACGTCAAGTCAGTGGAATATCTGAGAAATAACTTCCGGCCACAGCAGGACCTGAATAACAGGGTGGTGTACAAGTCTGCCGTCCGTGACGCCTGGAACCACGACATGACAGACTTCTTAGAAAACCCACTGGGGACGGAAGCCTCTAAAGGTACATTTGGATTCAGTGCCCTTGCCCAGAGGAAGATTTCCTTATCATAAATTATTTTAAGTGAAAAGGAGTTCAGAACCAGCCAAGAACTGGAACTTGGCATTAAAAGCATGTTTCTCTGCTAAAAGAGACTTGTCTGGGTGATAAATAGAAGCATTTGTGGGAATAACTTCAGTTAAATAGATATGTTCAGAATTGCCCTTTTGACTAGCGACATATCAGTCCTTCTCTCTGTAATTTGACCTTGTAGCGTCAGCACTAAACTCGTTGATGTCTTAAAGCTTTTTGGTGTCTTACTTTTTAACTGTTTCCCTGCTGCAATCAGGTGTTGGTCTCTGAGCTCAAACATCAGGACCTCAGACTTGCTTTCAACACCCCAGTCTTCAGCTTTCTTATACTAACTTCCATAGTAGGCAAGAAGTCCCCCTCCAGCTGTCAACCTCCACCAGACATCACGTAACCTTTTAAATCTATTGTTAAACAGTTCAATTCCCAGGTCTGAAAAACGTAAGTTTCATAACTTGCTTGTGTCCTAATCTTTTTCCGTTTCTCCTTTCTCATGGGAAACGGTCATGAATTTCTCTCCCAGGAAATTGGAAAGTCTGATTCTACCCTCACAGCCCAACCTTCAAGCTCTGTGATTTGTCATAAGATCACGGAGCTCAGGAAACCCTTGGAGGAATAAGGCTTGTCAAAGTCCCAGTATTTGGAAGGGAGGAAGGAAAAAGAAGGTATTTCCTTTGGGTTTGAAGAGGTGGGTCTTGCCCAAGTCAGTTCTCTCCTTTGGAATAGTGAGCTTGGGTGATGCGGGAAGCGCTTGTGTCACTTATTGACATTGGCAGTAGACTGTGGTATTTTTAGCGTCATAAGTTGTATGCAAGGGCTTTATTTCAGGAGTACATACCTCTACCTCCAATAAAACGCACCAGTTTACTGGCATATGACCATTATAGGAACAAGGGGAGTGAGTTGATATTCCAGAAATAACTGCATTGACATGCCTTTTGATGATAAGAATGAGCCCATTTTCCAGCCTCGTGTATCTGCAAAGAGCTGAAAGAAGAGGAAAGGGAGTTTTAACAATGTGATCATCTCCTTCCTGTTAGTGTAGTTTTGTCAGACGACTGTGCGAAGAAGCTATTCAGGCCAGGTTCCATCAAGACATACTTGAGAGTCAACAAATTTGGGGCTGACACTTTGTCAAGGGCATCATTTATCAACTGGGAACAGCAGAAAGGTTGAGAAGCATGCAAACCTGTAAAATATCTTGGATTGGACTGGCATGAAGAACCTTATTTGGCTTTTTTTTTTTTTAATCCAAGTTAAAAATAAAGCAAATGGCCAAACTGTAAAGCTTTCTCCCAAGAGAATGTGCTTGGGGAAAGGACGACTCTTAAGGCTGACTGTGTTGCAAGAGGTGGGGCATTCGAAGGATGGGGAATTTTTATCACAAGTGAGTATAGGATCTGGTAGCTTGGAGATGCTGACGTTATGACAGTTACAAAGTTCTTTCCTAATAAATGGGCTTGAGCATCTGATGTACCAGCTATGCAGAGAGGGTACATAGTCCTTCTCACCCAAGGAGATTAGAGAGGACACTGGTTTCCACTGTGTTAAATTGTCAGAGTGGACAGGATCCTCCACCAAATGGGCTTTCTCTGATTTTGAGCAGAACCAAGGACCCATCCTTAGGTAGAGGGAATTAGTTCTTCATCTTATAAGGTTACAGTGATCTTGGTGTGCATCCATTGCTGCCTCTTAAGAGGTTTGAATATTAAAATGTTTTGTGATCCTTCTAGAGACAGAGATGTAGACAGTCTTCTTTTTAATTTTTTTAACATAGTGTTGGAGTGTAACCTACAGAAACGTGCACACACAGTATGCATGCAACTTGGTGACTTTTCAAAAACTCAATATACTTGAGTGACACACACCCAGATCCAGAAACTAACATCACATCAGCTTCCCAAAGCACGTTCTTCTCCCCATTCCTAGTCACTGCCCATTCCCAAGGATAACCATGATCATAGTCTTGCCTCCTATATTAATTACGTATAAATAGAATCAGTTCACCAAGTTCTTCTGTATGTCTTGCTTCTGTTGCTTTTTACTGCTTTGAAGAGTCACCTATGCTATTTCACGTAGTTGTAGTTTGTTCTTGTTGCTGAATTTCAGTGTGTGACTGTACCTGAATTTATCCATTTTAATATACATGAATTTGTAGATTATTTTCATATGTTGGTAATTATGAAATTTTTTTTTTTAATTACTTACTTGGCTGTGCCGGGTCTTGGCTGCTAAACACGGAATCTTTTTAGTTGTGGCCTGCGAACCCTTAACTGAAGCATGTTTCGACCTAGTTCCCTGACCAGGGATCAAACCCAGGTCTCCTTCATTGGGAGCATGGAGTCTTAGCCATAAGGGAAGTTCTTGAACATGCCTTTTAATCAGCATGTGGACGCATCTCTGTTGGTTATGCACACCCTGTAGTAAAATGACTGCAGCCTGAAGGAAACATGTGTGTTTGGATCTGATTAGATACTGAACAGTTTCCCAGAATGACTCTATGTACCACTTTACAATTCTGTCAGTGATGTAAGAAAGTTTTCTATTTTTTTTTACACTTTTTTCAAGGCCTAATTCACATATCATAAAGTTCAGGTGTACTGAATGTGCAATTCAGTAGTTTTTATCAAACTCATAGCTATGCAGCCATCACCACATCTACTCTTAGAATATTCTCTTCACCCCAGCAAGTTCCTTCATGTCCGTTTGTGGTCAGTTCTTTCTCCTAACCTCAACTCTGCCTTTGACTTTAGGATTTTAGGATTTATCCATATTGTAGCTCAATAGCTCATTTCTTTTTGCTGCTGAATAGTATCCCTATTTGTTTTTTAAAATAACAGCTTTATTGAGATTTTTTTTTTTTTTGAGATTTGACTTCAATTTTATTTTTGTGTTTGTTGTTATATTTTCCTGTTTTTTTTTTAATTTATTTTTATTAGTTGGAGGCTAATTACTTCACAATTCACATACCATATAGTTTATTCTTTTACATTGTACCCTTCAGTGGTATTCTGTATTCACAAAGCTATGTGATCATCACTAGGATCTACTTAGAACTTTTTGTCACCCTCAAAAGAAATTCCATCCCTCTTAGCAGTCACTCCTTTTTCTCCCATGCCTGCCTCCTGCCCAGGCCCAGGAAACCAATAATGTGCTTTTTGTCTGTATGGAGTTGCCTGTTATGGAGATTGCACACAAATGGAATCCTCCAATACTTGACTTTTTTGTCTCTGGCTTCTTTCACTTAGAATCATATTTTCAAGATTTATCCATATTTGCACGTGTGTCAGAATTTCATTTCATTTCATGAACAAACTATACATCATTGTATGGATATACTACATTTTGCTTATCCATTTGTCAATTGATAGATCCCACTTTTGGCTCATTATGAATATCATTGCTTTGCACATGCATGTTCATATTTTTGTCTGGATGTATGCTATCATTCCTCTTGAATATAAACCTAGGAGTAGAATTGCTGAGTCATAGGGCAACTATGTTTCCTTTTTTTTTTTTTTAAGAACTGCCGAACAGTTTTCCCAAAGCAGCTGTACCAGTCTGCATTCCCGTCAGCATCATGTGAAGCTTCTGATTTCTCCACATCTTCACCAACACTTGTTATATATCTTTTTTGTTGTAGTCATCCTAATGGATATGAAATAGTATCTTTCTAGTTTTGATTTGCACTTTCCTGATGACTACTGATGTCCCTGTTTGTTTTTTAAATATTTATTTATGTGTTTATTTACTTGGCTGTGCCGGGTCTTGGTTGTGGTTAGTTGCATCATGTGGAATCTTTAGTTGTTGCATGCAAGGTCTTTTAGTTGCAGTGTGTGGACTCTTTAATTGCAGCATGTGGGACCTAGTTCCCGAACCAGGGATCAGACCCAGGCCCCTTATATTGGGAGCGCAGAGTCTTAGCCACTGGACCACCAGGGAACTTCCTTCCATCCCTTGCATTTAAATGATCTTTCTATTTGTTTTAAATTTCATAGAACTATGGTCCACATGACCAAATGCTCCTCCTGGTATTCCACCAAGAAAACTCAGGTGTTTCCATGGCACCAAAGGCTGAAAGCCAGTCACCAGTGCTGGCAATTATCAGGAATCCTGGAGGGCTTCAGTTACTGAGCTTAGTGATCTGAGTAGAGAAAAGCCAATACAAAGGAGGACCCCCTTTATTTATTTATTTTTGGCTGTGCTACGTCTTCATTGCTGTGTGGGCTTTTGTCTAGTTGTGGCAAGTGGGGGCTACTCTCTAGTTGCAACGTGTGGGCTTCTCATCGCAGTGGCTTCTCTAGTGAGAGCAAAGTCTCTAGGCCATGTGGGCTTTCATAGTTGCAGCTCCAGGGATCTAGAGTGTACACTCAATAGTTGTGACACTTTTACTTAGTTGCTCTGTGGAATGTAGAATCTTCTTGGATTAGGGATCGAACCCATGTCTCCTACACTGGCGGGTGGATTCTTTACCATTGAGTCACCAGGGAAACCCAGTAATCTTTTTTGATTAAGGACCAGATATTGGGCCACGTGATCTCTTGTTGCAACTTCTCAGTTCTGCCTCTAGCATCAAGGCAGCTGTAGGCAGCACATACATGAGTAGGTGTAGAAAATGTCTTCTAAAAAGACTTTATCTGTAACAATAGGTGGCAGTCCAGATTTAGCCATGGAACAATAGTTTACCTACCCCTGCTCTCGGGGATGGCTCAGACTTAGGTGAAGAAATCCAGTCTTAGGCGTGTTTGAAGGTATTTTCATGGTGGCCATGACTGTGCCAGTGTCCATGGCTTGGTTCTGCCTTTCCAAGACACTGCAAGAGGTTTATCAGCTTGGTAACCATTCACTGACCAGTCCACCCTAAGATATGCTCATCTTCCACTCCAGATGTGTGAGCAGAGCCTCAGTAGACTGAGCCCCACCTCCCTCATTCC